ACTCGAACTATGTGTTAACTATTAGACAAAAGTTAAAAGAATATAAGAGAATGTTAAAGTATAAGATAGAAAATAAACAAAGATGCTTGTTTATTTTTCATCTTTCTAAATACAGCAGGATGATTTGCGCTGAGCGATGAAACAAATTTTGTTTACATCAGAAATCTGTTTAAAAAAAACTATTTTATAAATCCCAAGATTCGAGTCATCCTCAACTGGTGAAAATAGCACTTTTCTCTGGTGATAACTCTGCGCGCAATGCTTTACGATCTCCATTCTACGCGTACTGCTTAATAATCTCCCAGACGGAATGATAACCTACTGCTTAGTAGGTATAACGATCTGTTTCACCCAGGTTTCTATATAACTTATAATGTCTTAAACAAGAGCCTGATGTATGATGGTTACTGTAGCAATAAAACGCTTTCGTCAGAATTTCTGATAAATTATCCATTTGTCTCTGTAGCTAGAACTGAAATACAGAAGATAAAAACCGAACAAATTTCACTATTATCTTAAAGCAATGGATTAAACTTAAGCGAAGGCAATAGATAAAGCAAGGGATTAAACTTAAGCGAATACAATAGATAAATCAAAGGATTAAACTTAAGCGAAGACAATAGATAAAGCAAAGGATTAAGCCTAAGCAAAGGCAGTAGATAAAGCAACGGATTAAACTTAAGCGAAGACAGTAGATAAAGCAACGGATTAAACTTAAGCGAAGGCAGTAGATAAAGCAACGGATTAAACTTAAGCGAAGGCAGTAGATAAAGCAAGGATTAAACTTAAGCGAAGGCAGTAGATAAAGCAACGGATTAAACTTAAGCGAAGGCAGTAGATAAAGCAATGGATTAAACTTAAGCGAAGGCAGTAGATAAAGCAATGGATTAAACTTAAGCAAAGGCAGTAGATAAAGCAATGGATTAAACTTAAGCGAAGGCAGTAGATTGATCTGAATGCCTTGAAATTACAATAGATAGACTTGTTTTTTGTAAAGCACAAAGCTACACAATGGCCTATCTGTGCTCTGTTCACTGCGAGTATCGAAATCCAATTTATATTCTTTGACTTACCGCTGAGACACAGGGGGTGGAGCAAATAGATAAATGATGTAAAATTAGAAAATGGAAACCGACAAGTAACACACTTATACTGGGTTTATTAGCTGACATAAGTCTGAACATATGACGTACAACTGTGAGGCAACGTTATTTTATCACTAGCTCGAGTACTCGCCCATTGAGCGGGTGAAATAAAAACTCGTTTGTAACAAAGGATAGGAAATTGTGCTTCTATTTTTTCTTAATATAATAAACATTAAAAGTGCAATGAAAATACATAAGGTACCAATACTG